GGAATTACAAGGAAGTTAAACTTTAAAATAGATAATTAAAGAATAAGAGGGCTGAACATACTGACATACTGATTCCTTGAAGAGAAACTTGGGGTTCACTATAACAATAGAAATAGTCTGAGAGACATTATGTTGTAAATTTTATCCAGTATCTGAGAAACCAATTTTCTGTAAGTCCTATAATACTTATTCTTAAACAAATATGTATCTGCTCATATATATACCACCTTCATGAACTTCAAACCATGAAAAAGTTAATGGTAGGGGTTGGACGGAGTCTACATTTTAAATGCTCTTTAAAAATATTATTACACTGTAGTAGAGGAACTATGAACTGAAGAAGGTTTTCAACCACGCCGCTACCAGCTACAGCTCTACAAATTGTTTTCTACTTTTACTTTAAGGAACTAAAATTGGAAACAAAGAGAGGAGAATTATTTCTTCCTTTTCTCTTCCCTCCCTCCTCATCCTAGCACCAGTCATCCCTGACCATGATTTTTAAAGAGTACAAATTGCTCCTCTTCTCAGAGGTGGAAATACACAGAAAAATATACAAAAAAACTAAATTCTGTCAAAATATATTTAAAGAGGTTTATTCACAGCCAGTGTAAGTGGCCAAGGCAGGGGTTCCACTATCTCAAGAGGTTTTGAGAAAGTATGCTCAAGGCAGCTGGTTATAGTTTGGTTTTATAGCTTCCAGGGAGACAAGAATTGCAGATAATTGCAGGTAGGTCAGGGGAGGAGCTTGCAAGTCATAGGTGGGTTTCAGGTATCCTTTAGTTGACAACTGGTTGAGAGAGTTATGCTATTGTTAAAAGGCTTGTAATTGATAGAAAGGAATGCCTGAGTTAGATAAGAGTGGGGAAAGACCAGTGATCTTATTAAGTAGATGAAACCTCATACGTGGCAGCCCTCGGAGAGAACAGATGCTAAATGATTCTTTTCAGACCTTTAAAGGTATCAGACTCTCAATCTCTCCTAGATCCCAGAAAGGCATAGAAAGGGAAAGTGTGGCTGCATTAATGAAGATTCTCTACAGATGCAAATTTCCTCTACCTCCATTTGCTGGCCTTGCCACAGCCATTTCAAAACACGCAAAGAAATATATTTTAAGGCAAAATATTTTGATATCCTTCAGAGCCTGCTGTCTGTTATGTGATGCTGTACCAGAGTCCAGGTGGAAGACAAGCCACATCATACAGGGTAAATAAAAACCCATGTAAAGAGATTTTATCAATTGTAGGGCTGACTCCCCAGTTTCTTTAAATAGGAATTTGGGCAAGAAGAAAAAAAAATCAGAATTTAGTCCTCCACTCAAATATTTTATTCATTCAAATGCTTATTCAAAGCACTACATCCTCCAAGAACAGAAAGTAGTATAGTGTCTCTCCTGAAGACTTTCATCCCATATCACGGCATGGGTTCTTCTTGTCCAAGAACTTCTGAGAACATCTTTCCGAAGGAGTTCATGGTCTCAACAACTGTCACAGAGAGAAAGAATACAAGAAGACAAGACGGGAAAGTTAGTCAGTGGCTTTCATTCCTCACCACCGCTGTGTGCTGGTTCTCTGGTACTGTGCTGTCATGATGCTTTGGACTTTTACTCTGACAATATCCTAGTGCTGTTATCAGCAGTCTCCTATCCTCAACACCCTGCTTTCCATAAAAATGCAACCAAGCCAGATGGCTGTGATCTGGTGGGATTCTAGTTCCATTTGCACTCTCCAAAGCAGTCTTCTACCAAGGAACATTCAGGCCTCCAAGGTTAAGATAACCATATACTCCAGTGCAAAATTCTCCACCTCACTAATTCAAGTTCCAGAGGAAAAGCCTAAATAAGGCTCTCCACTGTGAGTCACTCTTTGAACAGTAAGAACAGACACTTAAATGATGATAACTAATGCAAGTAGCACTAATGTAAGAACTCTGGAACTATTAGTACCCTCATCTTCCAGATGAGAGAATTCAAGGACAGATGATTTACCTAACCTGCCTGAAGATGCAGTAGAATAACAATAAGGAAATCCAGGCATTGCGGGCCTGAATGCTGCTACCTAGCCACTCCTCTTTATGGCTTCTCCATTGTGTCTTCCTGCCAGTTCAGCTCTAATAGGAATAAGCAGATGCCATCCAAAAGCTTTTCAAATTTGAATGAAGACAGCCTGAGGGTTGGTGTTGATGAACTTTACCTCACTGATGTCTCTCCTCCTTAGGCAAACTTGTTCTTCCCTGCTATTTGAGAGACATGTTCTTCCTCTTCTACTTCAAAAGAGCTAAAATGCACCTTTGTTTGCATAACAAAGATAGTGCGGTGAAGTACTTTCTTTCATTGTCAAGGAAATGACTCCAAATAACTTTCTTTTAGCATAGAGAAAGCTGCTGTTTTGATTTATTCGCATCTCACATATGAATATATTTTAATTAAGTTTCAACAGGTAAAGCTGAATTAGAAAGAGAAATTATAAAGTCATTTCTCAAAGAAAGAAGGTAGGGTTTATAAATAGTAATAACCTTAGTAGACTCGATGACTCACACCTGTAATCCCAGTGCTTTGGGAGGCTGATGCAGGTGAATCACCTAAGGTCAGGAGTTTGAGACCAGCCTGCACAAAGTGCTGAAACCCCTTCTCTACTAAAAATACAAAAATTAGCTGGGCATGGTGAGCACCTGTAATTTCAGCTACTTAGGAGGCTGAGGCAGAAGAATCACTCGAACCAGGGAGGCAAAGGCTGCGGCGAGCCGAGATCATGCCACTGCACTCCAGCTTGGTGGACAGAGTGAGACTCCACCTCAATACATACACACAAACATATTAATAACCTTTTTAAAGAAATAATTATGGCTATTTCTAGGTCTAATGATACTTCTTTAATCATCCTGAAAACGACGTTATTTCTTGGCATGACAATGCAAGGTAAAATATTTAAAAATGCAATTTGACTTTCTTTTTAAAATTTATGTATCTGATATATTACTATAGCCTCACTTGCATTTTTAAATTAATTGCTGTTTCTCTCTTTTCACTTTCATCTTACCTATATTGTGTATGAATTTAGCCTTTTTATACGGACATAATTTTTTAAAATATTTATTTATGGGGTACAAATGCAATTTAGACAATACTGTTGGCTATGTTTTTGGTTTTTTCTGTTTTTTTAACTACTCTGACAATCTATGAATTTTAGTTGGTTTTTACAGGCCTTTTATGATGAACAATTTGTATGTTGTGGTTGGTCTACCACTTTGTTATTTGCTTCTGTTTGTTTCTAAGTCTTTTATTCCTTTGTGTCTCTTTTTCTTGCTTTCCAAAGGGTGATACAAATATGTTAGGATTCCATCTTAATTTAGTCATAGTGTTTTTAAATACAACGTTGCATTACTTAATGACAATAAGTACATTCTGAGAAATGCATCATTAGGCAATTTGTTCACTGTGTAACATCAATGAGTGTACTCTATGTGTAATCAGAGTTGGCATAGCCTACTACGCATCCTGGACTCTATGGTACAGCCTACCGTTCCTGTTCCTCATCTACAAACCTGTACAGCATGTTACTGCGCTGAATACTGTAGGTAACTGTGACATAATGGTTTTTGTGCATCTAAACATAAAAAAGGTACAGTAAAGAATCCAGTGAAAAAGATTAAAAATGGTATGCCCGATTAGAGCGCTTACCATAAATGAAGTTTGCAGGACTGGGCGCTGCTCTGAGTGAGTCAGTGAGTAAGTGCGAGTAAATGTAAAGTCCTATGGTATTATTGTACACAATTGTAGACATTATAAACACTGAATAGTACACTTAGGCTACACCAATTTTATATAAAAACTTATTTTCTTGAAATTATATTAAACTTATCCTACAGTAACTTTTTTACTTTATAAATTTTTTTATTTTTATTTTTATTTTTTTTGAGACAGAGTCTTGCTCTATTGCCAGGCGCCAGGCTGGAGTGCAGTGGTGCAATCTCGGCTCACTGCAACCTCCGCCTCCTGGGTTCAAGCAATTCTCCTGCCTCAGCCTCCCAAGTAGCTGTGACTACAGGCGCATGCCACCACACCTGGCTAATTTTTGCATTTTTTTTTTTTTTTTGACATGGAATCTTGCTCTGTTGCCAGGCTGGAGTGCAGTGGCGCAATCTCGGCTCACCGCAACCTCCACCTCCTGAGTTCAAGCGATTCTTCTGCCTCAGCCTCCCGAGTAGCTGGGACCACAGGTGTGCGCCACCACGCCTGGCTAATTTTTGTATTTTTAGTAGAGACGGGGTTTCACCATGTTGGCCTGGATGGTCTCAATCTCTTGTCCTCGTGATCTGCCCGCCCTGGCCTCCCAAAGTACTGGGATTACAGGCGTGAGCCACTGTGCCCGGCCCTACTTTATAAATTTTTAAACTTAACTTTTTGACTCATTTATGATAACACTTAGCTTAAAACACATATTGTACACAGAAATATTTTCTTTCCTTATATCCATATTCTCTAAGATTTTTGATGTTTATCTTTTAATTTTTTTAATGTTTGTTACAAACAAAGACACAAATACACATATTAGCATAGAAGCTCCTCTAGGCCAATAACACATATGGATCTTTCGTCATCTTTTATAGTAACAAAGCCCTCTGAAATGCTCCTGAAGGACTTGTGTGAGGCTGTTTTACAGTTACCTATTTCATTTAATAAGTAGAAGGGGTACACTATAATAACAATAAAAAATGGTATAGTGAATACACAAAAATGTAACATACTTGTTTATTATTATTACTAAGTAAAATGTACTCGTATTAGTCCATTTTCACACTGCCATAAAGACACTAGCCGAGACTGGGTAATTTGCAAAGGAAAGGGGTTTAATTGACTCACAGTTCTGCATGGCTGAGGAGGCCTCAGAGGACTCACAATCATAGTGACATGGGAAGCAGTCATCTTCTTCACAGGGCAATGTGAGAGAGAGAAGGAGTGTGTGTAGGAGGAACTGTCAAACACTTATAAAACCATCAGATCTCCTGAGAACTCACTCACTATCATAAGAACAATATGGTAGAAACCACCCCCACGATCCAATCACCTCCCACCAGGTCCCATCCTCAACACATGGGGGTTATAAAGATTACTGTTGTAACCGGGCAAGCGCAAAATCACCGCTGAGACAAAGACTAGGCCAAATTTCAGGGTCTTTATTACCGGCGGCCACGGAGGACTCGCGTCTCTCTAACCCGTGGTCCCGAAAGGAGGGTGTCAAGACCTTTCATACCCATAAACCACCTCCTGGGCGGGGGTGGGGGTGAGGGGCTTTGGACATTCCGATTGTTACTTAAGTGGTTCACAGAAGTCAAGTTAAGCGTTAGTTTACACATTGTCTGGATGGGGTGGAAATTACAGACCTTAGTTACTTATTACAAGTCTTAAAATGGTGCAGGGGCCAAAATGGCATTGGTTTGTACTGCTTGCCTGTCACATTAGGGTTACAGAGAGCAGTTTCAACAGAAATCTGAGGCATGGTTGAGGTATGCAGTTTATGGGGCAATTACCATGTCACATTATAATTCAAGACAAGATTTGGTTGGGGACAGAGCCAAACCGTATCATTTCACCCTTGGCCCCTCCCAAATCTCACATATGTTTTCCATTTCAAAACCAATCATGCCTTCCCAATAGTCTCCCAAAGTCTTAACTCATTTCAGCTTTAACTCAACAGTTCACAGTCCAGAGTCTCCTCTGAGACAAGGCAAGTCATTTTGGTCTATGAGCCTGTAAAATCGAAAGCAAATTAGTTACTTTCTAGATATAATGGGGATACAGGAATTGAATAAATGCTCCCATTCTAATGGGAGAAATTAGTCAAAACAAAGGGGATACAGGCCCCATCTAATTCTGAAACCTAGCAGGGCAGTCATTAAAACTTAAAAGCTTTAAAATAACCTTATCTGACTCCATGTCTCACATCAAGGGCATGCCAATGCAAGGGGTGAGCTCCCACAGTCTTGGGCAGTTCCTTCCCAGGCTGGCATTGAGTCCCTGTGGCTTTTCCAGGTGCATGGTACAAGATGTTGGTGGATCTACCATTCTCGGGGCCGGAGAACCGTGGCCCTCTTTTCACAGCTCCACTAGGCAGTGCCCCGGTGGGGACTCTGTGTGGGAACTCCAATCCCACATTTCCATTCTGCACTGCCATAGCAGAGGTTCTCCATGATGGCTCCACCCGTGCAGCAGACGTCGGCCTGGACATCCAGGCATTTCCACACATCCAGTGAAATCTAGGCAGAGGTTTCCAAACATCAGTTCTTGACTTCAGTGTACCCTCAGGCACAACACCACGTGGATGACTCCAAGGCTTGGGGTTTGCACCCTCTGAATCAACAGCCTGAGCTGTACATCCACTCCTTTTAGCCACAGCTGCAGCTGGAGTGGCAGCAGCTGGGACACAGGGCACCAAGCCCTGAGGTTGCACAGAGCAATGGTGCCCTAGGCTTAGACCATGAAACCATTTTTCCCTCATAGGCCACTGGGTCTGTGATGGGAAGGGCTGCCATGAAAGTCTGTGACATGCACTGGAGACATTTTCCCCATTGTCGTGGCTACGACAATAACATTCAGATTCTTGCTATTAGGCAAATTTTTGTAGCCAGCTTGAATTCCTCCCCAGAAAAGTGGATTTTTCTTTTCCTACTGCATGGTCAGGCTGCAAATTTTCTAAACTTTTATGTTCTGCTCTTATTTTAAACATAACTTCAATTTCAGATAATCTCTCTCAAGTTAAAAGTTCCACAGATCTCTAGGGCAGGGGCAAAATGCTGCCAGTCTCTTTGCTAAGGCAGAACAAGCATGATGTGTGGGCTCCAGTTCCCAATGAGATCTTCTTCTCCATCTAAGAACACCTCAGCTCGGACTTCACTGTCTATATCACTATGAGCATTTTGGTCAAAACCATTCAACAAGTCTCTAGGAAGTTTCAAACTTTCCCTTAACCTCCCGTCTTCTTCTGAGGCCTCTAAACTGTTCCAACCCCTGCCTGTCAGCCAGTTCCAAAGTCACTTCTTTATTTTCAGTATCTTTATAGCAGTACCCCTCTCCCAGTACCAATCTACTCTATTAGTCTGTTCTCACACTGTTAGAAAGATACTACCCAAGACAGAGTAATTTATAAAGGAAAGAGGGTTAATTGACTCATAGTTCTGCATGTTGGGGGAAACCTCAGAAAACTCAGAATCATGGTGGAATAAATCCTTCTTCACAAGGCAACAAGAGAGAATGAGTGTGTGTTGGAGAAACTGTCAAACACTTATAAAACCATCGGATCTCACGAAAGCTTACTCACTGTCATGAGAACAGCATGAGGGAAACTGCCTCCAGGATCCAATCACATTCCACTTGGTCTTGCCCGTGACATGGCAGGATCATGAGGATTACAAATTCAAGACGAGATTTGGGTGGGGACACAGCCAAACAATATCAGTACTAGACATAATTTGATGTGTTACACTTTTATATAACTGGCAATGTGGTAGATTTGTTTACACCATCATTGCCACAAACTGGTGAGAAATATGTTAGACTATGATGTTAAGACAGCTACAAGGTCACTAGTCAATATTCATCTCCATTATAACCTTACGGGATGAGGGCTGGACATGGTGGTTCAAGCCTGTAATCCCAGCACTTTGGGAGGCTGAGGCAGGTGGATCACAAGGTCAGGTGTTCGAGACCAGCCTGACCAACATGGTGAAACCCTGTCCCTTTAAAATTAATTAATTAATTAAATTAAAAAAAATAATAATAATAACCTATAGGACCACCATGATATGTGCAGTTTGTTGCTGAGCAAATTATCATTATGCAGTGCATGATTGTATGTGATTTGTATGATTTTATTAATTGCTCTGCATTAAATAATATATATGTAACATCAGCACCTACTGTTACTGATGTTTTACCTCTTTGAGTGAATAGAATAAGTGCTCCCACTCCAAATGGAAGAAATTAGTCAAAACAAAGGGGATATGGAAAACTTGTTTTCATATGAATCTCTTTATTGTCACTACTTCTTAAATATAATTACCTTAAATATTTCTTCTGTGTTCACTGAGCATTTCACCATAAAAGTCAATGATTTTTGCTTCAACTTTAAAAAATGGCTTAAAAGCTTAAGAGAAGTTTGATATATAGTTATGCTTAATTTTACTCATTTAGATAGATGTTTTTAAAGTTGCAACCCTTCTTTTATCATTTCTTTTCTGTTTAAAGAATTTATTCTTTGAAGGTAAGTTTGTTAGCAACACATTACCTTAGTATTCTTTCATTTGACGATATTTTCAATGTCCCTTTAATGCCTGGAGAATATTATTGCTGGGTATTGAATTTACAGTTCATAGTTTTGTTCTTTCACTTCTTCAAAAATATTATCTGCTTCCTTCTGACCTTCGTGGTTTCAGATGGAAAATCTGCTGTGGTTTGCATTATTGTTTTTCTGTAAGAAATGTGTCATTTTTCTCTGTTTGCTTTCAAGATTTTTATTTTTTATTTTGTTCAAATTGAATGTATTAGGGTGTGTTCTACTTAGCATTTCCCATCTCTTGAATATTTAGGTTTATGTCTTCTATTCAATTTGAGAAGCTTGAAGTCATTATGTTTGAATAGTTTTGTTTTTGTGTTTTTTTTTTTTTTTTTTTTTTTTTTGATGGAGTTTTGCTCTTGTTACCCAGGCTGGAGTGCAATGGTGCAATCTCAGCTCACCGCAACCTCCACCTCCTGGGTTCAGGCAATTCTCCTGCCTCAGCCTCCTGAGTAGCCGGGATTACAGGCACGCACCACCATGCCCAGCTAATTTTTTGTATTTTTAGTAGTGACGGGGTTTCACCATGTTGACCAGGATGGTCTCGATCTCTTGACCTCGTGATCCACCCGCCTCGGCCTCCCAAAGTGCTGGGATTACAGGCGTGAGCCACCGTGCCTGGCCTTGAATAGATTTTGATTCCCACACTTTCTCTCCTCATCTTCTATAACTGTTGTAATTATGGATGTTAGCTCTTTTATTATTATCCTAAAGTTTCCTGAAATTCTGTTAATTTTTTAAAATCTGTTTTCTCCTTCTTGTTCAGACTCAGTAAATTCTGCTGGTTTGTTTTCAGATTCACTGATTCCATCATCTGCTCTGTGCTCTCTACTTTTGTGCCCATCCACTGACTGTATTATTTCTATTACTGTATTTTAATTTTATTTAGTTTATATTTTCCATTTGATTACCTTTTATCACTTCTAAGTCATTGTTGCATTTATTTTTAATTTTTACTTGTGTTTGCTCCAAGAGAATAGAATATATAATTGCTTATTTCAACACTTTTATGGTGATTTCTTTAAAATCCTTGTCAGATAATTAGAACCTCTTTCTTTTTTCTTTTTTCTCTCTTTTTTTTTTTTTTTTTTTTTTTGAGACCTGAGTCTCACTCCATCACCCAGGCTGGAGTGCAGCATCACCATCTCAGCTCACTGCAACCTCCGGCTCTCAGGTTCAAGAAGTTTTCCTGCCTCAGCCTCCCAAGTAGCTTGATTTACAGGCACACACCACTACATCCTGCTAATTTTTTAGATTGTTGGTAGAGGCAGGGTTTCGCTATGTTGGCCAGGCTGGTCTCAAACTCCTGACTTCAAATGATCCAACCTGCCTTGGCCTCTCAAAGTGCTGGGATTACAGGCGTGAGCCACTGAGCCCAGCCCCAACCTCTGTTTTCTATCTGTGTTGGTATCTGTTGTTTTTCTCTCATTTACATTATGATTTCCTTGTTCTTTATTTTACAAGTGATTTTTATTGTGTTCTGAATATTTTTTACGTTATGAGAATCTATTCTTTCTTCTTATTATTATTTAGTAGATGGTTTGCTATTCATGTGCAACCTAAGAGCTGGGTAGGTGTGCCTATTTAACTTCCTGATGGGACCTACTAACACCATCCTAACAAAAGTGGAGTGCTAACTGATACTTCCTTCTTGCAGGCTGGTTAAGTGGAAGTTGTCTTCTCCCTTCACCCTCTGGCCACTTCATGGCAAAAGTAGGGACTGATGTACACATCTTTGTTGCCTCCAGGTGAAAAGATAACCTCACTTCCCTGATGTGGTCCACTGACATCAGGGAGGTGATGAATAGAGCCCAACTCATAACCACCTGGTTGCTTCCAAGGGGTAGGAGTGGGGAGAAGCTGTGTAAGACCAGAACTGGTCATCGAAG